CTGGATAAGGATCTTATGTATTTTAAGAACCAGCTATTTATTTCTGCCTCGGAACCCCTACAAACCATGATCGCAAAAAGCTGCCACGACTCTAAGGTAGCTGGACACTTCAGACAAGAGAAAACTCTAGAAATTATTACTAGAGATTTCCACTGGAAAGGAATCACGAATTGTGTCAATGACTACTTTTGCTCTTGCAATGACTGTCAACATAGCAAGTCACCACGACACGCACACTATGGGTTCCTCCAACCCTTAGGAATTCCTTATGCCGTGTGGACATCTATCTCGGCTGACTTCATCACCCAACTCCCCGAATGCAACGGAAGTACCCAAATCATCGTAGTAGTCGATAGGTTCACTAAGATGGCTCACTTTGTCCCCTTACCTACCACCGCAACCGCTAAAGACGTGGCCACGGCCTTCTTAAAAGAAGTTTGGAAATTGCACAGACTCCTAACCGAGATCATCTCAGACATGGATGCTAAATTCGCAGGAGAATTTTGGGAATCCCTCTGCAACTTACAAGGCATTAAGCGAAAGATGTCAACAGCTTACCACCCTTAAGCCGACGGACAAACTGAAAGGACCAACCAGGTACTGGAAGGTTACTTAAGGACTTTTGTCAACTACGATCAGGACGACTGGTATTCTTTGTTGCCCCTAGCCAAACATGCCTACAATAATTCAGTCACCTCAGCGCAGGGATTAACACCATTTTACGCAAACTATGGATTCCATCCGCAGACTTAATGGATAACCAAGTGTGAAGCACGCAACCCCGGAGCAACCACTTATGCTCACTGGATAAAAGCGATACACCGACAAGCACGGGAAACGTTATAAGAAACGAGGGAATCAATGTCCAAGTACTACGATAAAAAAGCACGACAGCAACCAGACATTCAGGTCGGTGACCGAGTCATGCTCAACGCAAAAAACATCTGTACGAAATGACCCTCCAAGAAACTAAGCCCAAAGCTTTACGGACCGTTCAAAGTTCTCGAAAAACGAGGCGACTGTGCCTTTAAGTTAGAAATTTCGGAACGATGGAAAATCCACCCTGTATTCCACGTATCGTTACTCGAGCCCTACCAATTGTCAGCTCAGCCAGAACGAGAACAGGCCCCAAGGGGACCAGAAGAGATCGAAGGCGATCTCGAGTGGGAAATAGAGAAGATCGTGAAGAGCGAGATTCTCTCCTACACCAGAAGAGTTCATGGTCGTAATAAGCGAATCTACGAACTCAAGTACTTTGTGAAATGGAAGGGGTGTTCTGAAGACGAGAACACTTGGGAACCACCCGAGCATATGGAACATGCTCAAGAATTGGTAGAGGAGTTTCATAGAGATAACCTGAAAATGCCAGAGCCGAGGTAGAATGGTGGAAAAAGGTTTTCCTTCGCGTGGTCAAGTAAACGCGTGGAGGTTTTTTACCCTACTTGCACCGAGTTCTTAAAGGAATTTAATAATGTACCATATTAGAAGATAGAAGCAAAGACTTGAGACGAGCTCCACAGAGAGGGAGCTAGTGTTACACATATGAACACACAAACTTTCCCCGCACACAGACCTCCTGAAAACCGCGAGAAATCCTCGGCCAACACCCCCCTCCGGCCCCACAGTTGGCCCTGTGTGCAGTAATAGAGTCGCCGGAATTTGGTGTCCCGACAATATAAACCGGTTGAAACAAAGCATACTTCATAACACTGTATACGTCGTCGCCGTCCGTCCAACTGAAAGCTGTTCGCAGGATATATAAGAGGGGGCCTCAGGCCATGTCTGCAAAGTGGAACGGAGTCAATCGGACAGGTAACCATGGAGCTACAGGCTAAGCGAGATTGACCATCTCGAACATGGACAGAAAGTGTTGGGACAAAATCACCAACAGTTCAATGAGTTATCGGAACGTGCCCGTAAGGACGAGGCATGGGGCCCAGTCTAATGCTCGCATAGTATAGAGCCAACCGGAGGCCTATCTATGGTTGACGGACTTTCCCATGATGTTGACTAGTCCAATCGTGGCGGAAAGTCCTCAATGTCGATGCAGTCAAGTTGCGAAGTCAACGATGCATTGATAAGTCTCTCAACGGAGCTGATCACTCCAGTCAGAGTTAGGAGGACAGCAAGTTGGCTCGAAGCGAGACCACTTGTTTGTACTTAAATCTCCAGGACGAAGGAGTCATGCGTTTTCGCCAGAGAGGTTTCGAATGCCCTCGCGGAAACACGACAACGCATAGAGACCGTAGTCTGAGCAAAGACGCAAAGTTTATCAGGGTCAAATGGATGCCCGTTACGATAGTAAGGGTAGGAAAATGGAAAAGGTACATTGTTTGGTATAAGATAGATGTAGCCCGCAACCACCCAGATGCGGAATATAAATATCAAGGTGCCTCCTTAGCTTTCAGAAAAATCAGCGAACGGAGAAGAGATCTTATCAATATATTCGTTATCCTTTGATACCTACTTTTATTGCAAGCTTTCTTGACTACTCTCCAAGAAACCTTATTGGCCCCAGCTACAATTCGCCTGACTTAGAATTGGCTGCCACCTAACACCCTCATTCCCGTTCGAAAACGGACTGAAGAAGAGTATACAAGTGAAAAGGATAAATTAGGCCTCAATTCAGTTCAATATGTTAATGAACTGATGCTCCCTCATCTTCTACCTCTTTATCAGAGAATGGGAGGCATGGACAGAGGACCATTAACTATAGAAGATAGTACTCCATATCATACTTCTGCCTACTATACTCGCACATATCATTATATGCATAGTATTTGCAGAATGGACTAGCCCCCCTACTTACCAGACATGAATCCCATTGAGAACATATGGTCTCTTTGGAAATCCCGTTTCCGACAAGCATACTAGAACTCCTACCTATACTACCATGGTCGTGATGAAATTATCAAGCTTGCGCAGAGGGTATGGCAGGGACTTCCATGGAGGGAGATATATAGATGGATTGATGGAATACCTGTAACGTGTTCGCACCGGGGTGCTAATCACGCTTCCGGGTACAATAGGAGTAGCGCACAAGTTGATCTATAACCTATGGGCATACTGCGCTAAGGGAGGCTCCGAGAGAAAGATATAAAGAATAGGGACTTGAAGAGGTAACCGTTCAACCAAGTATATTAGAAATACTCTGTCCGTCGAAGTCTGCTCTTCCTCTAAGGCAATCAGCGGTTTTTAAATACAAAGTTTTGTCCATGGCCTGCATGGGCGAGTTTCCCCAGTATCCTTTACTCAAACCGCAAGTAAAACAAACTGAGTATCAAAGGATACTCGAAACCACAAGTAAAACAAACTGAGTATCAAAGGATACTTGAAACCACAAGTAAAACAAAACATAAAACAAATCCTTGAACCGAACAGACTGAATTCCAGTTCCTGTTACAATGCCAGCTAGAATTGCTATGCTATCACAGAGGCATGGAGGTCCAACTCGCTGGTGAATGTACTATTTATATCATACTTTCCTTCTCTCATCATTTTTTTATTTTATTGGCTTGTAGCTACTATCATATTGTTGATCGTTCATGCTGTTATTCTCTTCCTGAGGGGTGCCAAGCCGTATTTTCCCGAAACTTTCTTCACATGGGTGCTCCGATCGCTACTAGTTTTTGGTGCGCGGCCTCAGCTCGGCCGCGCGAGTGTCATACGGCGCCCGAGCAGACCCCCTCCTGTATGACAGTGGTATGGTAGTCCGATGGACCAATGACGTAAGCTCGGACTCGGGGCATACAGGCCACAATCCGCCTAATTATGGGTAGTGTTGCTGTTGTTTCGGGAAACCAAACGTCCAATAGAGTAACGCTCGGTGGAAGCAAATGGACATAAAGTTGTATTCTCAATTGACATGAGGATAAAAGATGTGGAATGTAAGTTCGAACCGCTTATTTCCGAATCTCCAGCATTGTCGAATAACATCTAGCTCTCATGGAAGGGGGTTTCATAGATGCGAGCTGCAAGGCCTTCGCTGGCCTTCATCACGAACCCTACCTTTATGGCGGCACTGGCACTAGCAGTATGAGAGCATGGAGGCCTTCCGGGCAAATATCTGCAACCAGTGGTTCTGATACTAGTCATTTTAGCGGCAGAATATTCGCTTGTATGAGGTTCATATTAAGTTATCTCAGGCGACCCGAGTCACCTAATTACGGGGCAGCTCGTGCCGTCCAGTCCTGCCATTTTGCTTGCCCGGAGTCCAACGTACTCCCGCGGCCGAGTTGAAGTTGGACACCCACATAGGGTAGTAATTGCCGGGCCAATAACAAACCGATGCAGCGCAACACAATTAATAATCACATACGATATAAAATAAAAACACTGCATAATTCGTTCTCATACTACATGACCTGGAAAGCCATCACATACTCATATAACCCGGAATCTAGCCATTGAAATTATTATTTCCATTGCTTAGTATTACTTTTCGAAGCTTTTCATGAAACGATTGACATTCCCGATCAATCACAGCCTTTAATACCCTGCCTGGAGAATACGGTATATGGAATTACTGTCGTCACCTTGATGCTCCGGATATGCCCATTCATTGGGCCGGCGATCACTACTCCATCTGGGTGTCCAACTTCAACTCGGCCGCGGGAGTACTTAGGGCCCGTTTACCTGCAGACGGCCGCACCCACCGTCAAGGGGTCTTAACCGTCGGTAGTGTCAGGGCTGAATTCTCATTCCTAACACGCCGTCAAGTGTATGATATCATACCATGGGTGTGATGCAGAACCGACTTTGATTTCAGGCTGCCGGTGCTTCTGCGATGGCCACTTATCTTCAATACTCAATTTCTGGTTTGGTGTAGCGCTTACCCAATCCGGAGGCTAACCTAAAGTGGATGACAGACTGGGCGCGTATACTAACCACTATTACACCGACAATCGCCAAGACGACAACCGACACCTGGTTTCTTATTCAACCATCTGTCCTGCCTCCCTCTCCATGGCGAGGAGGATGAGGTGAAGAAGTGGAGGGTTAATCCGAAACTGGGGCTCCCGGCTCCGAAGGTCTTGACGAAGAATACACTTTTGAGGGAGGCTCAGGAATGTGAGACCTTGAGGAGGGAGTTTTTGGCTTTGCAGGAGAAGATTAAGAAGGAGGAGATCAGCGTTCCGTTTGTTTTTTATGATGGTAGGTGTTGTGCATGCTCCAATTTTTGAAGTTGACATACGGCTAACACCCACTAGGCACTAATGTTGCTATGCCCACCGGAGAGGGAGTGACAGTTAAGAAAGGCGAGGCTGTATGGCTCTTTCTCTAACGTGCTAGGAGAATGTCTGGACGCAGGGAGTGGCTCAGGGTTTTGGTTGATGATTTACTGCTTGTTCGCGGTGAAGTGATAATACCTTACGTATTTCTTCCACCTCTTCCTTCCTTTTCGCGATCACTAACTCGCTCGATAGCACTTTGAATTCTACTATTTTATCGTCAATCGCACGATGGGGCCAGCGGATTATTGTTTGATTTCCTTTCATCCCCATTGCCCGCTTCCCAGACTTGCACTCTGAATCCCAATAGAGATGATCCTACAATGACAAAAGTGGTGGATCGTCGCTGGTACGAACGGAATAAGCACATATTCCCTGCGAGCGTGTGGACGGAATTTGATCCCAATACAGATTACTCAAACATGGTACAGCGGGATATGGGTGGGAATGCATTTTTTTCGGTTGAGCCTCCTTCTCAGCAGTTGGCTCTAGCTGCTCCCAGGTTAGAGATGGTATAATGTACTACCAGAAGGCTCTTCTGAAAACTACGGTATGATACTGTACATGATATTTACTTATTTTTTCCTACCTTTCGCTTCTTTGGTAACATGGAATACGGGACCTAGACTAATGGTTGACCTGATGTAAAGCCGTTCGTATGTTTAGTTGCAAGGAGAAATTCGATGAAACTGATGATTGGGTACGTCATCCTATCACAGGGGTGAGTACGCGCCGGTGTTAACTACGGCGCTACATATGCTCAAGAATGAGATTTTAAATTTCCACAATCGGATCTAAGTCAGAGGGGGTAGTTTCCGCCAGGGGGGGTTTCCGTAACTTCTGTATTAGTCCGTGCTTACCACCCACCCCCTTTGTTCAATTCAAATTATCTACATCAGAACCACCTAATTCTAGATGACTTTCAGCGGTAGGCCCTTCAGAATTGGTCTCCGAAGCTGAATCCTCTGCCTCAACCTTTCCAGCAAGCTTTGACTCAGCGCATTCATAGGACCTGTACACAAGCATTGTGCAAGTCCTTTTCACTGTGTATGTGAACCACGGTGCTAAGGATCACAGAATGGAAGAGAGCAAAGAAAACGCATCAGAATTGAACACGTGATGCCCAAATATATCGAGGCGGTTGGGTGGCATACATTGGTTGTATGGAACATACAGAAACTCCCCCTGGTGGAAACTCCCCCCTCCGACTTATTCTTTTCTTCAAACCGAAACTGACCATTTTTCTCATCATCGCCACAACTCCTTGCTCGTTTGACCGAAATACCATGTTAGGATGGACGGCTTTATCCTCTGGTGTAACGACCTCCGATGTCGTGCTCAAACTAACGACCGTGCCATTCTGGCTACCTGCAGGTCATTAGCTCCCTGATCTTATTGAATAAGCCCATCATACTGCTCGGGTTTCCGGATTGGAGTTGCGTTTCCTCCTGGTGTTGATGCACCTGGAGCGATGAAACTCTAATCCGGCAACTTGAGTGCTTGTGCTTGAGGGTATCAGTAAAACTCGGGAAACAACCTCCATGTCCTGACAGAAATATACACTAGTACGGGAAAAGCGGGGCTTGTCTTCCAGTTCTTTACTGAACTCCCGTGTGTGTTCACCCCACTCTTAGAGGGTCTATTCCTTAGTAGCCCTTAAGTTGATTATCTTTTCCTCACGTCCTATGTCCTGGAATTGGAAACTATAAGAGGCATAGAATTTTCTGAGGGATTTCCCATAAGTCAAATGTGGGGACTCTGGAAACACTGTAATTACTAGAGGGTTGGAAGTCTTGGAGGTGGGAAATATTGGAAGTTTCACTATATATGGAGAGTAGTCATTCCCTCCCGCGAAGATCCACCGAAAGCAAAACAGGCCCCCACACAAGCAAACCAAATCCTCCCCAACCGTTTACACACCGCATGGGTGGCACACCAGTAATACCTGCTTTCCCTTCTACATGTGGACCTGCTATAAAAATTAGCATCGAATGCAGTTCCCAATACCCGTAGGGCACGAGTAATATAAAAAATTAAAAGAGAGAGCTTAACTCACGAAGCATGATTCCACACACATCTGGCATATTCCTCCAGGTCCTTTCGGGTGAAAACTAAATCCCCTTCCTTCTTGCCGCCCATGAGAGCGGCGTCCGGCCATCTTCGGTGTCTGCCCGGTCGGGATTGACGTCCTTTCGCTCCAAAATCATCATTACTGCCTCCTCCAGCCCGCCTCCAGCCGCCCACGAGAGCGGCGTCCGGCCATATTTGGTGTCTGCCTGGTCGGGATTGACCTCCTTTCGTTCCAAAAGCATCTTTACTACCCGCTCGTTCCCCCCTTCAGCCGCCCATGAGAGTGGAGTCCGGGAGTGGATCGCGGTGGCGACATTGGGCGAGGCGGAGGCGGACATAATTACCGTAAAAACTCGACAAATTGAGTATCTCCGTACAAGGGCCTAAACTCCGCACGAGGGCAAACGATCCCTAACAAATGCTGGCCAAGTCCGACGCCTTTCTAGGGATGACAAATACCAGGGGGTAGGGTTGTGAATCGCATATTAGCAAATAGCTTGGCGCGCGCAGAATTTTCTGCATAAAAGCCGCTTTCATGTTTCCTGCGTTAGAAAAGTGCACCCACACCTTCCTCTCAACGAATCAATCCCATCACCACTTCACCTCTATTCTGCTTAGCTTTGCCCTCTATTTTCTCTACCCATCTCGGGTACGTTACACCCTATCTACCGGTATCAGGAGTCAATTCTACCCTCCTATTATAACAAGGTAAGTTGGTTTCATGTCATGCCCATAAAAACTCGCCAACTCGTTACGCAGCCAAGGCCATGGTACAAGGATTGTGGCCAATTAGAGTGCGACGAGATGTGGTCCTGCGTGGCGGTTTTGGCGAGCTTTTACGGGTATTTGTCTATCTATTGAAGACTGACTTACTAAATTCATGAGAAGTTAACCGCCGATCATGTTCAGACTTGTCACTAAGCGGGCATTCGGCCCCGCGAGCATCTGCCGCTGCTACCCTAATGTCCACTATGCATCCAAGGCGACAGGCACTACTCCTGTAAGCTTAAGATCCCCACGGGGTAAACTCGACCCGCCACTATTACATGTATGGTAGTCACTATCCCTAGAAAACCGATTTCGCCACAGAGTTGGTCTTCAAGAGGAATAGTGGCTACCTTAAGAAGTATGGCGGCGGGTCGAGTTTACCCAGAATTTGCGGTACTGTACCTAGCACACTGTTCTAACTAGGTGACAATATTCGGCAGAAGGAGTCAACTAATCCCAACCATAAAACTGCATGTTCGGGGGCGCCTACGGGGGGGGACACCGCAAACTGTTCTAACAACATTCAACAGAACGAGAAGAAACGAACCACCAACCTCAGGTACCGGACCGCATATTCGAGGGTTAGTATGCTGGATGCCGAGAAGAGACTCGGGTTTACCTTCAGGGGATTCGAAAGGACTTCCATATCCGTCAGCCAGATGTTAGCGCAGGTCAAGTCCGATATCAAAGGTCTCCAGGACGACCAACTCCAGCAAGCTAAGGAAAAAGTTTTCAACAATATGGTCGAATTTATTGAAGTCGAAGGATATCCCACGGAATCAGACGAAGACTTCAAAGAAGCGAACGTCAACGACCTGGTTCTGCTTACAATATTTCCCATACTGGTGGCGTTCAGACGCGAGTCAGGGCGCAGGCTTGAACTCCTAAGGGAAAAAGAAATTATTTCTACCGACTCCGAGACTGGCGGCTACGAAGAATTTGTTGGGATAGACTTTATTGGGATCGGGGGTCGGAGGTTCGTCTTTGTTGTCGAAGCCAAGAGGTCCTCTATTGGACAGGCCAAGAGGCAATGCCTCTTGGCCCTAAAAGATATGGGAGAGAGCAATGGTGGAGGCATCTTATATGGTTTTGTCACGACCGGAGAACAGTGGCAAATGATCCGCTATGATTGTGGGGTTTTCACTCAGTCAAGTCGCTTTCAGGTATTGTTCGATAGTATGGAACACGAGAAAGAGAAATGGATGAGGGACGGCTCGATCATCGTGGACTGCATTCATGCGGCGTTTAGAAGCGGGGGATCCTTGGCACCATCTACACTCCCGGAGCCAGGCAGTGCGGCGGCGGAAACTGACGAGAAGAAAGCAGAAGAGAGAGGGGAAGATGCCAAGCCCCATCAGAGGTTGCGGAGTCTATAGATTAGACCACGATTATAAAAGTGTGGGGGGCCTTTTTTTCTCTTCTTTATCATGTTTGAGCCGCATTATTCGGAGTGGGGGTCTGGTTGAGTTCTTCTCGCGGGGGTTTGTTTGTGGCTGGTTGTTTGGGGGGGGGTTGGTGTTTTGGGCGGGTGGGGGATTGTATTCTCGACTGCGGGGTACAGGTCGGCCAGTGTTGCGGCGGGTGGTGCGGTGGATGACGCGGCGAGTGGAGCCGCGTGAACATAGGCAAACAGTGGCTTGTGCTTTCCTGTATAATACCGGTAGTCGAACCTACCCCCATGTCTCTTTCTCAATCAACCTCAGTCGTTTCAACACCTCACAATACTGGCGCTTTTTAAAGTTTCTAGCAATTCTAAAATGTGGCGCGATCAGATTTTGATACAACCTTGCCCAAAGGGTTTAAAATAGTTCTATGTTTCAGTAGCTTTTGTCTATTCCTCTTGACCCTCGCCAGCCCCACCACTCTGCTTAGCCCCCTTGGCACTGCAGATGTCATCTACACGGGGGAAGAAATTATTAGTCAAACGAACTCAAGCCCGTAAGTAAGTTTCCCCCCCCACCCCAATAGTTGTCTTGATGCTCTGCAACTTCACCGCCTCATGCTCCCTGACACCTTATTCCTTCAAGTCAACAATATTACCGGTGTCGCCGTTAATCTCCAGGTATGCTCCTTCGCAACACACTTCGCACATAACTGGGTGAGTACAGCGGCGACAAGAAAGTAACCGGACGGCGTTGGAAGTAGATTTACAGTGGATACTAGTCTGGTTCGAGCAGTATATAGTGTGGTTGTAACAAGATTCATCCACCACGGATCACAATATGAAGCCAGGGACTGAGGAGGAGGAGATAGAGTGGCAAGAGAGGAATGGGGCTAATTAAATTGGAATAAGATCTACAAGATAATAGGTGGTATGCCTCAAATGTTGATTGAGAAGGGAGGTTTAAGAATGAAGTATTAAGTATGGATTGGTGGCTTGGAGACATTTATGAACTTGTAGTGCATGGAAATTTCCGCTAGTGTCCGGTTACTTTCTTGTCACCGCTGTACAGTGATTGGGCTGGCACCGGAGTTCGTGACCAGTGTCCTAGGAACGACTTCCAGGGCTTCTGCAACTCCCCTGTATGGCCACTGCTGCACACCTTCAATAGACTTTGAGATCATAAGGCGCACAGAGATAGCCATCACGGCTTCGCCACCTCTAGTAGCTAACCGGCGGTGGTGTCGAGTAGCTGCACCCTTCCCGATGATCGATCTCAGCTCCTAAACTGGCTGTCACCCCTGGAGCCCAGGCTACAGCATGTGGACCTTCAAGAGCGCCGTGTCGACAGTGTGGGGGAATGGCTCCTGCAAACTAAAGAATTCAGAAACTGGCATAACCGGAGCGGGGAAGGGGGAGGCGATAACGCGGTCTTGTTTTTCTATGGAGATCCCGGGGTCGGTAAAACATTTATCAGGTAAGAGTCATTATCAGGAAAGAAAAGGAAGAGAACTAGTGCTAACAAGCCGGGATATCAGTTCGCGAGTGGTGGACAGGTTGTGCGATCAGGCCAGAGGACAGGGCATTACAGTCACATGTTTTTACTTTGATTTTCCGGCCAGAAAGAAGCAGTCCGCGACTAGCATGCTAGGTTCCTTGCTGAAACAGATCGTTAGCGGGATGGGAAGGATTCCACAGGAAATATCACAGGCCTTTCAAGAGCAGAAGAAGGTGATTGGTGGACGGGAACCCCAACTCCATGACATCGTGAAGTTGCTACAGGCCATCACCTCCTCACACCGCACATTCATATGCATTGACGCTCTAGACGAGTGCGCGGCAGTACAACGATCGAGGGTCCTTGATTCGCTAAGACAAATTCTCGACAGATCCCCGGAGACACGAATATTCGTGACTGGAAGGTCCCATATTCGAGGCGAGATTGAAAAGCTCCTCACTGGGCGATTGGTAAGCGTATCTGTGGGCCCCAGGAAAGAGGATATCACCCGATACCTTCGGGTTAGACTGGATGAGGACGAGACACCAGATGCCATGGACGAGAGTCTGGAGGCAGAAATCTTGGACAAAATTCCTAATAATATGTCGGAAACGTAAGTTGGATGCAATAATACTAGGAATCCCACCCCAATAATTATCTGCTAATTTATATGCCTAGGTTTCTACAAGTTTCCTCCAATATCGAGGCAATCTTACAAGAATCGACAATTTATCGGAGGCGGGAAAGGCTCAGGAAAATTACCGATGGTTCGAGTTTAGGAGGTGCTTACGATACGACGATAGAACGGATAAAAGCGCAGGACGGTGATAAATCGAAACTGGGGATGGCAGCCCTGATGTGGGTCACCTACTCGGAACGGCCGCTAAAAGTGGAAGAACTCTGCCACGCCCTAGCAGTCGAGCTAGGTCCCACGGATTTCAATGCTGAAAACGCCCCTTCGCCGTCGACACTGGTGGGCTGTTGTCAAGGGCTTATTGCTGTGGATAAGGAGGTATCGACTGTGCGATTGATCCACAGTACTCTCAAAGAGTACCTTTCCGCTTATCCCAATCTTTTCAGTAACCCTCACTCGGCAATAGCGGAGATCTGCCTGACCTATCTAAATTCCCAACAAGCGAGAGCCGTTTCCACCAATCACTTTCCCAGGACCCAGGACATACCATTTCTCGAATACTGCTCTGTATACTGGGGAGCTCACGCAAAGAGGGAGCTCTCGGACTGCGGGAGGTCACTTGCACGGAAGCTGTTAAAGGAGCGTTATGGCGACTTGCCCACAATATTGCTTTTGGGACAAGTTGGGCACCTGGATCCCAAGTACCCCAACACCCACTCTCCACTTAGTGGACTACACTGCCCATTGTTCTTCGGAATCGCTGAGGTTGTAGCTACCCTAATAGGGCCGGGATGCTATGACATTAATGAAGTAGATTTTGTGGTTTGTACACCACTTGCGTGGGCTGCTCGGAGTGGGCATGAGGAAGTGGTTAAAATACTGCTGGCTCAGGAGGGGGTCAACCCTGACAAGCCAGATAATGGCAGCCGAGGAGCTCTTTCATTTGCCGCTTGTTGTAGATATGAGGGAGCAACGAAGATACTGCTCCAACAGGAAGAGGTCAACCCCAACAAGCGAAATCCTAACGGCCAAACACCTCTCTCGTCTGCCGCCCAGGGTGGACATGAGGGAATAGTGAAATTGCTACTTGAGTGGGAAGAGGTAAACGCCGACCTGCCAGATAATGACGGGCGGACACCGCTGTCTTTGGCTGCCCAGTACGGACATGAGGGAATAGTGAAAATTCTACTCGAGCGAGAAGAGGTCAATCCTGACAAGCCACATAAGAATAGTCAAACACCCCTCACATTTGCAGCTGCTTATAGGAATCAGGGAGTGGTGAAAATACCCCCCGAGCGGGTAGAGGTCAGTCCGGACGGGCCAAATGATAACGGCTGGACACCGCTCTCGTCTGCCGCTCAGAATGGACACGAGGGGGCTGTGAAAATCCTGAGGGAGCGGGAAGAAGTCAACCCCGACGGCCCAGATAAGGCTGGCCGAACACCCCTCACTTTTGCCGCTACTTCTGGACACGAGGGAGTGATGAAAACACTACTCGAA